GGATATCTAAAAGAAAGGGTTTGGGGCTGTATGGCATAAATGGATTGGAGTTGTGCAGGCGATCAAGGATGGCAAGGGGACTACAGCTAATGGACTGCACATTTAAAGGATGGGAGCCGAGATGAGTCAAAGGGGGGGTAGAGATGTCCCTACCAGCAGATAATGAGTGGAGAGGGACCACATGTGACTGGGTTGGACTTGAGATTGTACCGGATTATCATATATGTGGGTGGAGCGCGTCTGGAACCCTTTAAGAGAAGAGGAAGGATGGGAAGAGAATGCGGAAGGAAGGGTGGAATCGGTCGGGATGGTCATCCTCTCCGAGCAAGGGTGACACTTATTTTGCACAATGCTCACGGCAGGACAGAGTCGGATGTGGCTTCTGGGGGATGCCGAGGCAAGGGCTCGAAAGGTAGGCGAGGGGTTTGCCAACAAAGGATGGGATGTGGTCCGTAGTAGGGTCGTGATGAGGGGATGGAAGGAGTTTAGGCCTCCCTGCCTGCGAACCAAGATTTGGGTACCCGAGTTCGTGGCGGACTGGTTTGGGGGTTTTGACCACGTCGCGGAAGTGGCCAGCACTATGGGGCGGACACACATAAATTGCGCGTGGTTGACGGAAGAGTTTTATAAAACATCGTTGAAGTTTGGGCCCTTCCACGACGACAGAGCCTGGGAGGTCCTTATCATTTTGGACATAGACAGAAACGATCGGCTAGAAGTGGCCCCGGAGATCATGGAAGCCATAAACCTCAGAGAGGTAGCAGCAACACCTTGCTATGTGGATGATGTGTTCAAACTATTCGAGGTAACGTTGTACGAGGGTAGAAGTACTAAGACTAGGATTGGGGTGTCCGGCCATTGTAGGGATCGCTGCAGCGCCGCGGGACAAAGACCGAAGGCAGGTGGAGGGCGCGCAATGGCACGAAGGAGGACGTTCCTTGAGGATCGCCCGCTGGGAATTGGGCCGCAAAGGGAAGCGACTGACGGCATAGAAATCAGCCTACCTACCGTAAGTGAGATCCGACACCCGGTGGTGGATTGGGTTGGGCTCGAGCTTATGGAAAACACGTTTTTTCTGGTAACCAAGGTTGAGTGGCGGGCGGATGAGAATGGCGAATGGAACCCGGACCTGCGGGGACATGTCCTCGTGGAAGGATGATTGTACTTATCGGAGGATGGATGACGCTCGTTCAGAATCCTACTAGCGCCAGGAGAAGATTCGCTAAGCATGTTCGAAGGAGCATGGCAGATAGTGTGGCAGGCGGGGCTCGAGTTCGCAGATCCAGAATTCAACGATGTCACAGCGAACCTTAGGGTGGCCATGACCGGGAGTTTCAATTTGCCTAGTGAGAACGTTCGAATGAGGCTGCCGCCCCTTTTACTAAAACGGCTAGGCGGGCTGGAGCTTGTCAGACAGGCAGTGGCCGACCTCGCCAACCTGACGCTTGAGGAAGCAATGGTCCATCGGGAATGTTATCGGGCCTTCCTAGAAATGAGCCCGTTCGACGGTGAACAGAGGTATGAGGTACTGCAAATTTTGCGCATCGTACTTACCACTAGGCCTAGAGTTCCGGCTGTTCGTGACGAAGTCCTATGGGGCGTCGTCTGAAGGGAAATAAACAGGGGGTTGAGTTATGTAGACGATCTATATCGCCTGTACGAGCTGTCGGAAGAGGAGACGGGTCAATAAAAAGAGAAAGGAAAGAAGGTAGTAGTAAGGAGGGAAAGGAGGGCGGATTAAGGATGGGGAGTTGCCCAAGTGGTGGTCGAAGGAATGGATGAAATAAGCAGAGTTTGCTTGTTGTTTAAACTGTGCAGGGAACCGCTAACCAACGATGGCAATGAGACGAGCCTAGATGTCGCGACAACCCACACACCCTCGACCGCCCACGGCAAGCGGAGACGGATGAGAGGTGTCACTTCCAGCAAGCTACTTGGTTCGAGGGATTGACACAGAATGGAGGGTTGTGACCTTGGGAAAGGACCAGGCGTACATGATGGTGGCATGTTTGTGGAGCGGTATGAGGTTTAATAGGGGGCCGGGGGACAATCTATATGTTGATTTGAGGGTGATAGGGACCGTATACCTACCAGAGATTGGGTGACACATGCTAGGAATTGAGATGGCACTAGGACATGGGTTGCTGCCAATATTCCGAAGGGCTGCCAGGATAGTAAGCCGGATAGGTCAGGAAATTTAGGGGAGAAGGAATGTAGGACTGAGAACTCAGGTGGAGGTAGGAGGATGGCGAGAGTTTAGGGCCCCGATGACAGGATTGCGGTGCCGAGTACCCCGTTTTATGGTAAACCTGGTTTTCGGCAGTCTCTCGAGGGCAAGAGACTTGGTGGACTCGACCTTAGTCTGGATCCATCACTTCCAGCCACAGACGACGGGAATGTTTTACGATCTGTCGGTTAGGCGTGGACCATTTTGGGGAAATCAGGCCCGTGAATTACTCGAACTCATCGAAATCCTGATATTCGGGTTACCACGCTTGGCGTTTGAGGAGTATGAACCAATAATCATCAGAGAGATAGAAATGGGAGAAAACTACCTTGCGGGGGTGGCCAACCTGTTCGAAGAGCGTGGCGAACAGGACAGGCATGAGGGACCGGCATGAGAAAAATACCGGGAAAAGTCGGTGAAAGTAAAAGCTGGAAATTGAAATGAGGGATTAACCATCTCCGGAAGGTAGTGAGCGGAGTCCTATCCTACCTGAGAACACGGCAGGAAGGGACTAGGAAGGCCACCACCGCTAAGGACGCTGAGGGTATCCGGGAGTCGGGAAGGCAAAAAGGGTCATCCTCGAGAAGAGAGCCGCCAAACCTGGATACCGCCCTAAGACCGAGACATGGCAGTGACAAAACGCCGGACCTCGGCAGCGAGCCTTCCAGCAGAGGAAAGGTAAGATGCGCCCTGCTCAGTAAGGAAATGTCAGAAAAACCGTCACGGTTGATATGAGACGGGAAAATATGAAAATAGCGAAGATAACGATCTTAGGACCTGGGAACTAGGGAAGCTGTGAACGACCGGCCGTTTTGCAAAAAATATTTTTCATGTGCAGGGTTAGGAAAGGATGGCGTTGGAAGAAGAGGCTGGGAACCTGCGGAGCAAGGGGAGTCAGGGTACAGAGAGGGACGTGGAACGGAACGAAGGGTCAATAAGGGACCTGGAATCAGCAAATCCGGAGGGGACCAAGGAAGACGAGAAAGATCTCTCAACGGGGGAAAGTTCGGGAAAGGCCGGAGGAAGTAAACGAGGACCTCAGGAAAATAAGGAAAGAAGGGACAAGGAAAGGACAAGTCCGCGGAACTCAGATGAGATCATAGCCAAGAAAACGAAAGTCTCGGATGCTCGGCTTAAGCGGGCTGAAATAGAAAAACGAACCACAGAGTATAAGGCGAAACTTATTGAAGAAATGATGGGTGGGAGCGAAAGGGACCTTCCGGGAGAGGAACTACGAGAGGAGCACATGACTACCCAGGCCGAAATCAGACACGGAGGGAAGGATAGTAGCCATAGGTGGACGCCTAGCAAGAAAGGGAAGGAAAAGGGGGACCATCCGGTTGTAGAAGCGGAAAAAGCTACACACCCACCAGCCATAGACAGTGGTGTCAGCCGCTTGTCTGTCGCGCCAAAAATAATGAAGGGGTGCAGCGGACTTTGGGGTCTGAGAGAAAGGGTATTAGGGTGGTTCGACCCGGCGGGAACAACAACAACCGGAGAAAAGCGGAAGGATAGCAAGGAAGGAGAGAGGACCTGTACAGCTGGCAAAACGGGTAGTTCCGAGGGCGGGCTCAAGAAAATAGTATCCACCCTCACCCGGGCATTGAACAAAAATCAGGGCTACCTCGCGGATGCCAAGAAGAAGCTCACCTTTGATGGGGTGAACATCACCGAATTCATGATAGACTACGAGAACCTAGGAGCCTTGTTGAAATGGAGCGAGGAAAAAAAAATGGACCACTTAGGGCAGCATGTGTCACTAAGCTTAGGAAGAGACATTATGGTCATCGTCGTCGCCAGCGGATCCTGGAAAGAGACCCGAAATAAGATGATGAGGAAGTATCTAAAGGCGGAGAAAATGGCAACAGAAGCCGAATTGGCAGCCGTACAGAGGAAGAACTATGCGACTTACAACGACTTCCTGAGAGCGTTTACCCTAGTAGCGTTACAATTTTCCGGGGTAACAGACCGGATCATTAGCAAGTATTTCCTTAGATAGTTCTCCGAGTTCGACAAAGATAAGATTATGTCGGCCTATCAACGGACCAGCAAGTTTGAGTACACGAGGGACGTAAACTTTATCATGGTGACAGACATCACGGAGAAGACGGTGGTAACCGAGACCTTAGCTTTGCTTAAGGAGGGAGAGGTCATAGACCTGACCGGGAAGACGGGAGACAAGGTGAAGAAGGGAATAGAAAGTCTGCACGAACGGGTGCATGGAGTCGATAATAAGATAGAAAGAGTGAAAAATGCACGATTGGTTATGCAGGCGCAAGAATCACGACCCGCCCTCCCGCCCCAAGAGCCCGTAGTTCCAGCAGCAGTAGCCAACCGAGGATACGGCAGGAAAGATCCGGCAAATGAGCAATGTCGATATTGCACGATGATCGGTCACTTTGTGCAGACCTGCCCAAGACTCAACCACGATATTATGAGACTGAGATGCAACAGGTCCCTTAAAGCCGAATTTTTTTGGCCCTAGGGGGAGCCAATAAACTGGAATTCGCCAGGCGGAATGCGGCGTGTCGTCATCATCCTGAATAACCTAGATATAGTCGTCGTAGAAGCAGAGCCGGTAGCGGATATTGTCTGCGACCAGCCGTGGGGGCGCGGAATACAAGTTACTTTCTTCCTAGAAGGGAATGGATAAGATAGGATGAACATCACCACTCGGCGGACCGGGGCGGAAAAGAAATTTATCCGAGATACGGTAATGGAGGAGGTTGTGGTAACCAGCGCAAATTAAGGTGAGCCCAAGACCGGGGAGCCGGAGAAAGTCTAGGGGAAAACAAGGGAGGAAAAACCAGTAGACAAAGCCACGACGGCAAAGAAGAAGTTCATGTACCAAATTTTGATCTTGACCATGCAAGAAATCGACGACACCCTGAGCAAGTTGCTGGGTACCATGGTATCCGTATCTTTTCAAACCATGTTGCAAGCAAGCCCGGGATTGCTTAAAGGACTCAGGCAATTACTAACGCTCAGACGCATAGAGGTAGAAGAGGCTCCGGAACCGAAGGAACAGGAAACGGAGGAGGCTGAGGCACCGCAAGGGGTCGCCAACCTCCAGAGGATTCCAAGGGATCTGGAGGACCTAGAAAAAGCCTTTGCGGACATCCGCTTAAGCCTACCTGACCGAGAAGGCGGCGAGGTCATGAGGGCACATCCCGGGACGAAACTCAACTTCCATGCACTTCCTGTAGGAAAGTTGAAAGTCCAGATAGGGACCCATCATACAAACGCATTAGTGGACGGAGGTGCGAAAATTACCCTCATACGGAGAGATTTCGCAACGATTACAAGTTGTACGGTAAACAAGGAAGTGACAGAGAGTATCCGGGGAGCCGGTGGGGAAATTCCCTTTGCAGGGTATGTCACGAAATGTGCAGTTAAGACAGGAATCAGGGAGTCGATCTGGTCATTTCAGCGGATGACGGTGAGGGAAGAAATGAACCATGACATAATCCTTAGGAGACCGTGGTGCGCCAACGTAGAAATGATAGGCATGCACCTGCACGATGGCACATACATGGTAGATACAGAAGACCCAGTGACCGACCGAGGAGAACTTCTTCGACTCCTTGAGACCGAAGGAGACCCTCTGAAGGGAAAGTTGGCAACTTGGTCACCAACGTTCGAGGATAGTGCCCGAAAAGGAGCATTTGCCCGGATGGAAGGTATGAGAGAAAGAGTGGAAATCATGATTGAGGAGACCTTTAGCAAAAAGGAATGGATCAAGATGGGTCTACCTCTGAAGAAAAGGAGGCAAGAAGATGTGGTTCTAGGGATCATGGTGGCAGAGAAGGAGCCGGAAGTCGAACTCGGGGCCAGCCTGCCCAAGTCGAAGGAGGGTCGAAAGGAAACACCGGAGGCAACGCTCGAAATTTCGGACCTGTTACAACTCGTCAAGGCTATCAAGTACCACAAAGTAGGGGTGGACCCGGCGACGCTTGCCAAATTCGAGGATGAGGTCCAAAAGGGTTAATGTTTGAATGGGAGGATAGTCATTATTTAACCCCGCGTCGTGGAGATAGCAAGGCCGATTCCGACCGTTCATGTTTTAGACGAAAGATCCCAGAGGGAAGTATTCGGAATTTCAAGCCAGTAGGGAAGAAAGCTAAGTCAGTTTCGATCTTAGTGGAGACGTCAAAGGAGGAGGCCATGGAGAAAGAGGAAGAAATTTTGCGGGTAATTAGGGAGAGACAAATGGCGGAAGGGCATCGGATACCCGACGAGGTGGCAAACACCATGAAAATAGGGATAGATGGGTTCCTAACGGTGGAAGAGACCCAACTGATAAGGAAAGCGTGCCAGGAGTTTCACTTAGCATTTGCTTTCAATGACCATCAGAAAGGCCGATTGGGTGCAAAGCTAATTTCCCCCGTTAGGATCCACAGAGTGGAACATGAATGCTGGAAAGACAAAGGGTCTGCCTACGAGTTCGGAATAGCGGCAGAGGTCACCGAACTGCTCAGAGCCAAGATAGATTCGTCCGTGCCCGAACCCACCGCATCCCCCTACGCGAACAAGTGGTTTGTTTTTCGGAAGCCCAACAAGACGCTCAGGTGGATCTAGGATTTGCAGAAGCTGAATGCGGTAACAATCCGGGATGCGGGATCGCTTTCACAGACCGATCTGCTGGCAGAATCTCATGCTGGCCGGAACATTTATTCCTTGATAGATTTATATTCAGGATATGACCAACTGCCGCTCGATGCCAGGGATATACTGTACACTACATGCACACCACTGTAGGGCAGCTGCATATGCAAGTGACCCCTATGGGTTTTACAAAAGTTATGGCAGAAGCACAGAGGAGGATGCTTGCGGTAGCTGGGGACATGTTCCCGAAAAAATGCGAGCCGTATATAGACGACAACCCCATAAAAGGCTCGTAGAACAAAGACGAGACGGAGGTCCAGCCGGGGGTTAGGAAGTTCGTTTGGGATCACCTACATGATATCAAGGACCTACTCCAGCAGTTCCTGGTATATAACATCACCGCAAGCGGACCAAAGAGCATCCTGACGGTCTCTGAAGTGACCATACTGGGGTTTTGCTGTGGGGCCTATGGAAGGAAGCCGGACCCGGAAAAGACAGATAAGATCTCTCAATGGCCAACGCCTCTGCGCACCACGACGGAGGTACGAGCCTTCCTTGGGGTGGTTGGATTCTTGAGGATCTTTATCAAAGGTTTTGCTTAAATAGCCGAGCCTATCCGTGCGATGATTAGGGATGGAGGAACTATGGAATGGACCGAGGATAGGGAAGCAGCGGTTCAGACCCTCAAGGACGTCTTGACGTTTGACCAAGTCACGTTGGCAGCGCCCTGCTTCAACGACGAGGTAGGACGACCCTTTATTCTGGAAACCGATAGAGGACCATTGGTAGTAGGAGGAGTCCTGATACAAGGGAGCGAGGAGGGCAGAGAAAGGCCTATCAGATTCGAGAGTAGGACCCTGAATTATGCGGAACGAGGATACTCTCAGTTCAAGAAAGAGGTTTTAGCCATCCTTCATTGTCTTCAGACCTTTCAAGCGTACCTATTCGGAAGGCGGTTTATCGTGAGGATCGATCCGACCAACGTCGTTGGGGCACTGAAGAACTATAAACCTATAGACCTGACAGTTGACAGATGGATAAACTTTATCAGGCAGTTTGATTACAAGGTCGAGCAAATTGCGGGGCTTCGAAACAGGGCAGACGGGCTAAGTCGGGTCTGCATTACACCGGAAGGAATAGAGGATGAGGAACCAATCGACGCCTTCTTGGAATATGAGGGAGGAACCCTCGTCGTGGATAACGAGATGACGAGCCCCGCCTGCATGCCAGCGCAATTGCTGATCCAAACATTGGAAAAAGAGACGCATGTCGTAGTTGCGGAACTCAGGGAAGGACCAGTCACCATGATTAGACGCAAAGATGAGAAGGATTCGTGGGGAGCAACAATGGGGCTGAAAGAGGAGTTGATGGCAATGACCGTTGAAGGAGGTCGGGATGCCGTGATGTGGTTAGTAGAGTCTTGGACACAAAAATAACTACAGTATTTAGTAAGTCAGGCTCAGGGGAGGCGAGATACGAACCAAGAGGGACAATAATTTTTCCTCGTAGAAATGTATGACGGCATCTTTTGAGAGATCGACCTGTTACTTATAGGGAACAAACAGCCTATGGAAGTCAGCCCCAAGGCAAGGGAGGAAGCTGACAGGTATGTCCTGAGGAACGGCCACCTGTTCAAGAAGGAAGAAGGAATGATAGCTAGGCGAGTTGTGTGCGGAAGGTCTAAGCAGTTGAACGTAATTTAGGCGATGCATGATGGACTAGCCGGAGGACATCGGTCATCAAAAGGGACCCTTGCAAAAATCGTGCCACTTTACTTCTGGCCAGGCATGGCAGGTATGGTGGCTACGTACTGTCAAACGTGTCTGATATGTCAAGAAAGGAGTTCCGCGCGTATCTTTGAACCTCTTAGACCGACTCAGGTACCGGGGCCGGGGCATCTGGTCCATCTCGACCTCGCGGTCATGCCCGTATCAATAAACAGATACAGGTATATCTTGGATGCAAGAGATAACTTCAGTGGTTACGTAGAGGAAGTGACTCTTAAGAGAAAGACGGGGAAGAGAGTGGCCTACTGGATAGAAGAAGTCTACCTAAGACACCTCTTTATTCGCAGGTTTATAGTGGATAATGCGACGGAGTTCGTAAACCAGGAAGTGTTAGGCAAACTTAAGATGTTGTGCGTACCTATCAAGATCATCGAGCCATATTATCATGAGGCCAACGCACTTGTAGAAAGGGAGCACCGAACCTTAAAAAACACAATTGCTAAGTTGGCAGCAGATGACCTGGGGAATTGGCATCGGTACCTTAAGCAGACGGTCTTCTCAGAGAACATGACGCCGAAAAGGACGACGGCATGCATTCCGACAGAACTCTAGTATGGAAGGGAGATTGATTTCCGGGTGGAGGCATTGGTACCCACCTGGAACAGGCTAGACGACAGTCCGCACATGTCTATGGAGGAACTAATCGCCGCATGGTGCCAACAGGTCCTTAGAAATGAGGAAGCCTTGGAGGATATTGTTAAGCTTGTGATGGATAGCCGAATGAGGGACAAAGCAAGGTGGGACCAGGTCAAGAACATCCGGAAGGAGCCGCTCCAGGTGGGGGAAATGGTACTAGTTAGGAACTCGACTCTTGAAAGCACGTGGTCTGGACAGCTGGGAAGAAGGTTCAAAGGCCCCTACCGGGTCGCTAAGCGGGTGGGGCTGAACACCTTCGAACTTGAGGATCTTGATGGTACTGGGTTAAAAGGGTCATTCCCGGGACAAAGGTTGGTCAGGTTTCTTAGTCGGGATCCGGTGGGGCAATGGTTGCAAGAAGCTCAAGACAAGGAAATAAGGGAATTGACAACTTGAAAGGCAGGCAGCTGGACCGTAATCCTGTACCGTTCCTCTTCGGAAGTGATCATGACTGCAGAAGTTGTTTATTTTGTGTCTTCTTCCTTTTGGGGGGCATGGGGTGACTGCTTGGGCTGAGTACGGATGGGGTTGGGAGCCCCGGGACAATGTATCATAGTTTTTGTGGGGCGATGATGGGATTGTCTATATGGGATACCTATGTGCTGGGACAATGTACTATAGTTTTTGTGGAATAATGAGACCGTCCGCCTATGTTGACACTCCGAAAGGACTACCAATCATATGGGGATGAGCAAGCGTTCTAGGGAGCAAGGCTACAAACCCGCAATGAGAGTGGGAGGGAATGTGTGTATATGGGGGCTGCTGTGTTTTTGTTATGTATGCACAGGACCAGGAAAAAACAAAGCAGCAAGAAAGATAAAGATAGAATTCAGGAACGAGAATAACAACAGCTTCATCAACAGGCCCTACGAGCAACAAGGGGCAAGATCAACGGGGGAGTCAAGCACCATGAAGATAAAATTGTATGTGGGATTTGACTTCAACTTGGTTGTAGGAAGGGGAAGAAGAAAGCAGGGGACCAGGGGGCCCTCACCCCTTAGAGAAGGGGAAGGGATATATGTTTTCTCCGGGAGTGAGAGCAGTGAGGGGGAGAATATGAGCCCAGAGAAAAGACTTATGTAATTGGTTTTGCATGGGCTTGAAAAAGGGATCTGGCAAGATGCCTAGAAGAGAAAAGACTTGAGTAATTGACTTTGCATGAGCTTGAAAAAAGGGCACTGGCAAGACGCCCAAAAGAGAAAAGACTTCTGTAATTGGCTTTGCATGGGCTTGAAAAAGGGGCCTGTCAAGATGCCCAGAAGATAAAAGACTTGTGTAATTGGCTTTGCATGGGCTTGAAAAATGGGTCTGGCAAGATGCCCAGAAGAGAAAATACTTGTGTAATTGGCTTTGTATGGGCTTGAGAAAGGAGCCTGGCAAGATGCCCAAAAGAGAAAACACTTCTGTAATTAGTTTTGCATGGGCTTGAAAAAGGGGTCTGGCGAGATGCCCAGAAGAGAAAAGACTTGTGTAATTGGCTTTGCATCGGCTTGAAAAAGGAGTTTGGCAAGATGCCCAGAAGAGAAAGGACTTATGTAATTGGCTTTGCTTGGGCCTGAAAAAGGGGTTCGGCAAGATGCCCAGAAGAGAAAGGACTTGTGTAATTAACTTTGCATGGGCTTGATAAATCATCTGGCGAAATGTCCAGAAGAGAAAAAACTTGTGTAATTGGTTTTGCATGGGTTTGAGAAAGGGGCCCGGCAAGATGCCCTGAAGAGAGATGCATATGAAATGGACCAAGTAATGCGCATATGAAGATAATTAAGCCGGATGCAAAAAAGGGTGGAAAAGGGGGATGCATGCGAAATTGGCAGGACTAGAGTAAGACCGGGCGAAATAGCCTGGGAAGAATGTATGTGAATTTGGCTTGAGGAAAGAGTGACGGAAAGCATGGATTGCACGGGTCGAAGCACACGAATAAAAGAGGCATTGAAAATGACGGAAAGCATGGATTGCACGGGCCGAAGGACCCGAATAGAAGAGACATTGAAAATGACGGAAAGCATGGATTGCACGGTGTCGGGACTAGTGAGTCCCGAATAACTTCCCATCACTCAAGAGACTGAATATGGACGATCTGTGCACAACAGAGAAATCTAGAGTGAAACGGCAGAAGAAAGAAAAGATAAAGGATTAGGTCGCAAGAGGGAGTACTGCCCTGGGGCGAGAACCACAGGGGGAAAGAACTAGCAGCAGCAAGCGAGCGAGTGCAAGAACAGGGGCACATAGAACATAGCAGGAGGCCGGGAGGGCCGTCGGAATGCAATAAGACTAAGTCCAAAGGGCCCCTTAAACTGACAAATGCTGCACGACAGCGATAAAGGAATGAGGAAGTCGAGGGATGGGCGGCCCAGAGGCCACGGAGATCCAGAAAATGAGGGGCCAACGTGGGGGGCACCTACGAGAGCCTCAGAGCGGAGGCCCACGACCAAAGAGATCAGTACGCATAAGGCGCGAGGAAAAACAAGGGAGAGGGGTCGCTATGGGGCGACAAAACGCCCAAGGGGCATGAGACACCTCGGGGAAAGGCACCCGGGGCCACGTGGGACTAAGTAAAAATAATGGCATCCGAGGCGAAATGTGTCGAGGACTGCCGACGGGACTAAGTGTCGGGGACCACCGGCGGGACTAAGTGTCAGAGACCACCGACGAGACAAGTGGCGGGGACACGTGAAAGTCCCAAGAAGAAACGGCGGCACCGCATGACAGAAAATAATAAATGCAAGGTGCACCGTCAAGATCGACATCTTGACGATAAGAATATTAGCACCACTTGTGCACTAGTGGTGACAAACGGGAAGGCCAAAAAGGAAAAGAAAAAGTAAAGAAAACTGAAGTTGGAGGCAGAGGAGCAATCCAAAAAATCTCGGATTAGCCTCCCCTAAGAAAATGAAGTCAAAAGAGACCCCATGTGAAAAATAGCCCTCCGGGAGAAAATCAGAGTAGGAGGGGTCACTATGGGAAGAATGTAGGAGTAAAAGGAAACTCCCATGGGCATGGGAAGGCCATTATTGCAGTCAAAGAAATAACGGACTGCACCTTGGGCATAGGGAGGGCCAAAACTAAGAGGAAGAGACTAGAAAACGGCCTTAACGGCCACTTGACACTTAGCATGCTAGAAAAAAGAGAAAATAAAAGAAAATGTGGGAGAATAAGACGAAAAGAGAGAGGGAGTGAGTGAGTTGGCCGTCAGTAGGGACTGCCACAGGTAGGGACTGGCAGGTCCCTACTGTCCAAGAAAGGAGGGAAAAAAAAAAAAAAAAAAAAAAAAAACCTTAACGGTCAAGAACGGTCACTTGGGGAGATTCATCCGTGACCAGATTCATTCTAGAATATGACGGTTACAAAGGACATTGATTTTCTTTGATTTTTGCAGAGAAAATCAAAGAAACCGGATGCACTTGGGAATTGGCCGTTTCTTTTCTTTTGGGTAAGGGTTAGCTGTAGGGCATGGGGGCTAAGGAATTGACCCCCATTGCAGTCCAAGCTGCAACGGACTGCATGGGGGAGAGAAAACACATGTTCTAGATGCATTCGGAACCAATATTGAGCCCGGATGCACTTGGAAATTTAACGCTTCATTTTCTTTTAACATGGGGCAAGTTGTGGGGTTGTGGGTATACAAAAACAGCCATGACTGCAGTCCGAGAGATTACGGACTACATGGGGATGCCAAGGCTAAAGGGAAATGGGCTACGGCGAACCCTGAAGGCTAAAAAGGAGCAATTTTGGCATGAGGCAACTAAAGACGGTAAACGACAACCGTGAGATGAGATCTCACGGCCTAGAAAAATCGACACACTCGTAGAGATGATGGGACCACCAAGGGCAAGAAACCAAAAATTAAAATGGGACGCCGTCCGGAATGTTGTCGGGGGCCAAATGAGTCCAAATAATAAAGATCGGAAAACGGAACACGCGCCGGCGGGACCGCCGGCGGGACAAGGAAATGAAGCTAGTATGGAGGAAAATGTCGGGGACTTAGGGTGTCCCAAGGGAACCGTGAGCAAGCACAAGGAATATTTGTGCAAGCAAACGACATTGTCGAGATCAAGGATCTCGACGGTGGAAAATATTAGCACCACTAGTGCAAGTGCAAGCACTAGTGAGAGCAAGTGGGAGAGCCATGGGAGAAAGAAAAGTAAAATAATGA